TAATTAGAAAATTAAAAAATTTGTCGATAACTTGTTACGAAATGTTTGGAACTGAAGCATTTCGATGTGAGCACATGACAGAGTTCCATACTTTGATGTAGCCAATTTGAGAATCTATAATGGGATATTGTTGAGTAAATTAGTTTACATTGTGTCAATCAACGAGTTAATGTTCAAAACTTACAGAACTGAGAATGATGCGGATTTAGTAAGTTTGTTGAATTTATGTTCCGTTTGAAGTTTCGATTCCCCTAGAAAGTATATCGAGTAACTAATTATTTACGAACAATTATATGCTGAAAAATGTTAATCTAATCTAAAACTAGTCTAAAAGTAACATTCTCAAAAAAGTTTACTACTACAAAAGTAGATGTTCCTTAAGGGGTTACATCCAATGAGGATTTTGAAAAAATCGAGTTTCTTTAAATGCATTTTCGTAATAAATGTAATATTTAAGAGTGCACTCAGAAAATTTCAGAGCAATCCGTTAAATATTCCCCAAGTTACATTCAAGTTTGTAAACATTGTCGAAGCGTCTGTCCCTTTTTACTACCTGCCTATTGTGAATGAACAAGACCAAAAAAGTTCTAGAAGATGCTGAAGATGCAGAAAAAATTATTATTTTGTTTATTCCTCCTGTTAATCCCAGGATAATCTATTATATTAAAGAAATTTTTTTAGTTTTTTCCTTTTAGATGATCCAGTCCAGAAGTATCCTGCTCACCGCAAGATGCCTATCTACAGAGTAGATCAGAATAGTTGTTTTGATGAGTAAGTCTAAACCAATATTAGCCGGAGCTCTCGAAAATTATTTATAGAAGTTTAAAGAAAAATTATTTTTATTATTAAAATATGTCAAAATAAAGTACTTGAAACTACTCGGAAGTTATTAAAAATTTAATTCCTTATTTTTTAATTATTCTTAATTACGAATTATTAAGCAATTATAATTCTCGTACCTAACTCCTACTTGAAAATATTTTAATGAACTTAAAAATCAATGTGAATAATGTTCTACCTTTAGAGGAAAGTTTTATAAACGTAAAGCATATCGTGCTCATGGCAAGATGGTGTATAACACATGGTCATGATAGTTTTGGTTGTCTTCTTGTAACATTAATTCATGAAGCACATTTGTCTGTTGGTAAGTTACGTCATTATGTGGGGCCAACACTGACGGATATGTGGTTAGCCTTGCCTCCCTTGAAATTTCTCATAAGCCGTCGCGTTGGGAATGAAAAGAAATAGCTATAGTGATACAACCTCCTGTATATTACACTGCAATGCACACATGAAACTATCCTCCACATTCATTAATGTTGTTCACAATCATAAATGACTATTTTAATTATAATTGTTAATTTTTCTTCAGTCAACATTTTGCGGTACTTTTTCTTATATATTTCTTTCATACTCACAAAAAGCTGGATGATTTAGAGGTTTTCGTAGTCGCTGCTTACGACTCCATAGATCGTTTTAGAAAATTCAAAATGGCGGATCCAATATGGCGGACGAAAAAAATTAAAATTCATTCAATTAGCTTCAAATGTATGACTCGGGGGTTTTCGGGGTCGCTGATTACGATCCTGTTGTTAGAATTTTAAAATTCAAAATGGCGGATCCAATATGGCGGACGAAAAAATTGAAAATCGTTCAATTAGCTTCAAATATATGACTCGGGGGTTTTCGAGGTCGCTGATTGCGATTCTGTAGTTAGATTTTCAAAATTAAAAATGGCGGATCCAATATGGCGGACCAAAAAATAAAAATCTTTCAATTAGCTTCAAATTTATGACTCGGGGGTTTTTGGGGTCGCTGATTACGAGTCTGTAGTTAGTTTTTGAAAATTCAAAATAGTGGATCCAATAGGTCAAATAAAAAAAATATTCATCTTTGTGTTAAAAATAGCAAGATACTTTCGTTTTTCATGACCTGTGTTGAATTATTCTCCCTTGCTAATAGATTCGAATTGGATTTAGGACTTGGGATGATCGGATAAGAGGTAAATTGAAAGAAGGAACATTGTCTCGAATTCCTCTGGTAGAAGAAAAGTACTCACCCCTTAACCTTGGTTAAGTTAGCAGCTCATTGATGTCGTAAAAAGTATATAAATTTAAAAAATTAAATCTACATAGAGAATAGGTTAAAATAAAAAAAATTGACTCGATCCCTTTTGATCCTATTTCTAACCATCAGTTACTTTGTTCTAAATACGAATATAATTTAATTATAAAATGAATTTACTAACCTAATTTTCTAGAGAGTCAGTTCCAACCTACTTATCATGAAGATAACATCAACTATTTTTTGTTGTAAATTGTTAATGTTCTCTTTTTCTCTACCTCAAAGCAACTTTACTTTGAACCTTGTGCTACTCTTTGCGGTTTGTTTTCTCTGAGCGGCTTGGCAATTGTTCAAATAATATACCTATATATGAAAATTTTAATTCATAAAATTACCACTACCTTGGCTCTCTCTTTCTCCCTTTTAGAGCGATGAAAATATTAATTTCCTAAATTCGATTACATTTTTGTGTTCGGTCAAAAAATTCCAGAGGGAGATAATTTTAAATATGTACATTTATCTACTTTTTAAAATTGATATTACTTTTTTTCATAGTTAGGGATTTTTATTTTTTAGTAAATGAATTTTAATAAATAAACTGCAATTCATCAAATATATTGAAATTTATTTTTCCAAGCTATTATTTTTAACTGTCAATGAAGCATTTATCAATGAACATGATAGCATTGTCAGTGGAATTTATTGATGCGAAAAGTTAAAAAGAAAAAATTTTGATTAAGCTCAGCTATAGTGTAATCACCCGATCATGATAATATACTGCTGTCTGGCAGTTATTTCGCTTTTTTTGTCATATAAATTACGAATAATAATACTGTTGGGAAAAATTATTTTTCGAACAATAATAATTATTTGAGGGAACAGGATTTTTAAATTTCTTTTACGAAAACTTTTGTCAATTTTTTTTTATTGAAGGAAAAATTCTACTCTTGGTTACATGTTTAAAAAAGTAGTAGCAACGTGTAACTATTACTAGTTCTAAAAAGATTTTCTAAAAAAAGGGTGTTTCAATCCAAAGAGAAGTAGAAAGTGAACAAGATTGCTTTTTCGTCAGACAATAGCATCAAAGGACTTCAGTGACATCAACCCTTTGTTAGGTGTTTTATTCTCGTTTAACGAGTTTGTTTCACGAATACTAGTTAGTCATTCCATTTATAATTCGTTTGGATTTCAAACTGAAATTCGTAAAAAAAACATGCTCTTTAATTGATGCCTTTGTTACAATGATAATACAGTGTGTTTTTATGTTGTTCAATTGGTAAATTTAAAGCTTTTTTCGAAAGTAAACAACAAATAAAGTTTAAAAGTAGAAAATTTTTTATCGATATCTTTTCAAGTTTTAAGAAAATAATATTTTGTTATACTTTGTGTATTATTGTCTGCTTCTGATGTTCTTTATAATAAAGTCTTTAAGGAGCTTTTTCTTCTTTTTTTCGGAGAATTATTATCTTTCTTAAAGATTTAATGTGCTTCACTGATAAGTTTCCTTTCCTGTGAATGAAAGATTTGTCTCCGGTCGACAATTTTCTGGTAAGAAGGAGAAAAAACAAAAGGAGAAAAAATCCCACAGTTCCGTCAAAGAGGGCAGTCATTCTTCCACTATTTTTCACCAAGAACTTTTCAACTTCCCGGTTGAGAAGAGAAAAGGATTAGAAGAAAAGAAAATAAAGGCAAGAAAACGGGAAATAAAATATCATAAAAATTATCTTTTTTAAAATGATCATTTTAATTTAAAATTCTTTCTCATTTTCTCATTATCCTCTTTGGGGGCATTTTTTTTGTTTCAAAATATATTCTTTTAGAAACTGACTAACTAATTCTTGTTGTTGTGCTGTAAATTCCGCTTTGACATTGAAATAGTTTTAGATTTTAACTACTGACGCAGGAGAGCCAAGGTGTTTGTATGTAGATTTCCCAAAAGTCCCCAAGCAAAAAATTCGTCCGCCATATTGTATCCGCCATTTGGAATTTTAATAATCTGACAGCAGATTCTTAATCAGCGACCCCAAAAACCTCCGAATACCAAGTTTCAAGCTAATTCAATGAATTTTTAAAAAAATCCGCCATATTGGATCCGCCATTTTGAATTTTGAAAACTGACCTCGAATTGGTAATCAGAGTTCCTAAAAACCTTCAAGAAAATTTTCTATTTTTAGAAATTTCCTCCTTTCGTTCTGGGGGCATTAAAGTAAAAAACCTCTTTTACTACAATAATTTTTTTCTCTTAGAATTTTTGGTCTATTGTTGAGAATCTTTATTCAAAGATTAATTTGAGTTTGAGGTGAAAATTTCTTAAACAAATAAGAGAATAGGTCTTCGCTCTAAGGTGAGGCTAATTGCAGTGTTAATCTAAGTAGTGGTTTCTCCTTCCTTGAATTTCTAGTGAATTCAGAGTAAACGAGAGAACAGATAATTTTCAGATAGCGAGCTAGTTTCAAGATAGTGCTCGGTGGTATTCGCGTTGCATTATTTATTCGTGGAACAATCACAATTTGTATCTGAATTGTACGTGTGTATGCAAGTATTCCTGCTTCCCTCATTATGTCTATCTGACTTTTCCCCAGAGGAGCGATATTTAATGATGAATATTTTTAATTGTCATTTTAGTTTTTGTATATGGAAAGTGACATGAAAAATAGATATAATTATATTTGCAGGAACAAAAACTTTTTTTAAAACGGGAGTTTATATTAATTTTCCTTTTCGTTCTTTAATTTAAAGTATTAATTAAAAAAAAGTAATTTGTATTTTCCTCTCCTAATAGTAAGGGAAATATCAGGAGTTTGCCAGGAAGAATTTCTTTACATGAACCTTGTCTGGTTTCTGTTATTTTGGAACGTGACATTAAGGGATTGGTCCTTTTTGGAGATATCTATAAAAATTAATTTGCCAGCGAAATATATTTCTAATTTACTCACCAACAATATTGAGATTCACGGGATGACCAATTGGTGGAGTAGTAGAAATTTGGCATTCGTAGATTCCAGAATCCTTCCGTTGAGGATATCGAATCCTTAGGGTCCATTCCTCGGTGTGTGGTGCGTGTAATGCTTCGAAACGCTGATCGCTTGTGTATGTGTAACGACCAACGGTTAGCAAATGAATGTCTCGATGCCTAACCCATGACACCTGGAAAAATAAAAATTAGGATTTGAAAACACTGAATAAATCTGCAATTCAGTGGATAATTATTTAGTAATTAGAACTTAATCGTCAGAGGAAATTTTGCCTGAACAACTTGTCAAGCAGATTTCTGCCAACTACGAGACGCGACTGGCACAATACTGGATCTGACTTACTCACTATGATGATCCTGATGTTTGTTAATTTTTTTATTACTAATTTACCGACTAACACTGGTTTAGACTTACTCATCAAGACAACTTATCAATGACTGGTACTGTAATGGTTTAGACTTACTCATCAAAACAACTTATCTCTGCTCTACTCTGTCAATAAACTGTAGTTAATCAAAATGAAAAATAAATTAAATTCAATACGGCGTAAAACGTGTCAAGGCTTATATATTCTATAAGAGAGGAAACTTCCTGTTCCTCTTAGTTGACGTTCAGTCATGAACTTGGAGAGCAAGAGGGGAAACGTCGAGCCACCACTCCCCACATCGTCACTAACCATAGTCTCAAGTAGAAACTCAGTATCATTTGTTGACGATATCAAGTTGAAAGTTATATTTTGAAACTCGAAACAAGAGTACCATTCAGCATATTAATTAAAGAATAATTGAGCTAGTATTTGTCATATTTTGAAGAATATCCCGACAGTGCAAAAACAGTAATAAAAATAATCACAATTACAGACCCCAGAGTATAAACATTCATTTAATTTAAAAATTCTCTTTAAACCCAGAAAATTATTTCGTTTATTTTCATTTTTAGTTATATAATTTCGTGATAGAGATCTCAATCACGTTTCTACAAAAAAGGGTAATGAATATTATGCACTTTGCGTACAATTACTACAGTCACCTCTCTCTCTCACTTTTTCCCTTTATACCTTGATGTTTTATTTTCTCTATTTTCTTTTCATACTTATCTTATCACACATGCGGTGATGTATTTTCACAAAAAGCCCAAAGTCTTTTAAAAGAATAATATTTTTAAAAGTTTAACAACATTTTCGTATAATGCTTCTAGTGGAAAATGGGAAAATTTTTATTGTTCTGAATAAATGAAAACAATATTTCAAAGCGATTAGAAAGTTAAGAGTTTAATTCTACTATTATTATGAATTCTATTTCAATAAATCATGGGTAGGTATTTCTAATTTGAACAATAATTGAGAAACTGTCACAGTATTTTACGCGGGATGAAATAGATACTGTGGAGTGTTGTAAACATTTATGTCCACACTCTGATTACAGGGCTATGAAGTTAATGTCTAATATTAAATTTTATTGCTCATCAGATATTAAAATATTTGAGATTACAACCCTATTGTTGTAACTTTTAATGAAAGGAGAAATAAACATTGTTAAAATTGTTTGTATTCTCTCACAAAATTTTATAGGCTCATTAACATATACTCATCCTAAAGTGGGTTCAATTCTGAAACTAATTTAAAACCGGGAAAACAGGGTTTCTTGTTTTGACGTAACATAATATAAAAGGTAAAGGGAAAGACACTATCTCATTTTTTTAAATCGACTCCGTTTCGGTGGTCTACACATAATAAAATTAAATTAAATTCCTATTTTCCATTCGGATGGGGAAGGATACTGGTAAGTTGAATAGTAAATTCAAGGGATGTAATAGAGAAGACCGGCAAGCTCTGATGAGGTCTCGAGGAATACCATTCGGGTCAGGAACCTCATTAATATTCAATTTCTTATATTTTTTTAGGTACATCAATTTTGTTTTATGACTGTCCTATGAATATAAAATAAACGTATACCTAAAATTCGGAATTTTGTTCACAAAATTTAAATATGTAATTTAAGAATAGATAGAGCTACGATACTGTGTTAAAACTTTGTAGTTTTTGATCAGAATTTGACGTTTCTATCTATAGAATTTTTCCCAGTGTTAATTTTCAAGTAATATATTTCCACTATTACTTGAAACAGTATTTCGAAATGTACGAATAACTATCTTAATTACTGGAAGTTGTATACTTTTATTTGTATACAAAGAACCTTTAACAAATAACAAATTTCCTAACATGGAACTTTTCGTACCTCTAAGCTGACCCTTGGGAGCAATTAGATACCAAGTAACCAGAACATAAACTTAATGTTAATTTCTACGCGTCCTTTTGGGTGTTGTAATTAAATTTGCCAAGTGTAACTAAATATGAAAAGGTTAATATTGTTTAGACTCTGGTGGTCAATGAATTTAGGAGAAATAATCCCTGAGCATCAAATTGTTGCTGAAGGAAATTATAATCCTTATTTAAATTATGTTGATTATTTCATGACAATGTAATTGGAGAACTACTTTTGAAGTACGGGAAAAATATCGATATTTTCATTTTGATACCAAGCATTGTCATTATTTGAGACTATTACGGTAATTTCGATCACGTTTCCTATTATTGCCTGTAGAGTTAGAGCATTATGACCTCACTTCTTCAAATGCAAAAGTACTATCGATCACGTCATGGTACTTACAGTTCGATTACCGAGGTTCTTTACTCTGCACACTAGGTGAACTGGTTTCCCTACGAGACCCGTCACGTTCGCAGGGGCAGTCGTGTCGAAATAAGGACCAGTCTCTGGTGTAGGCCATTCTTGAAGAAAATCCGTATTAAATAGTCTGGAACATTGTACAGGTGAACCTGAAACAAAAAAAAAGATAATTGAGTTTATAATCTGCAGATCTAGACTGGAAATTATCTAAAAGGATTGATAAATAAATTGTTATACAGTAAAAATAAAAACTGTTTCAATGAATTAGGTTAATTCCCTAGGTTTATTAATTTAGAAAATTAATTTAGGTGTACGCCATTTTGTAACTGCGTTACAATATATAATTTTGCCTTGCGTCTGTTGTAAATTCAAACCTTGTGTGTAATTTACAATTATTTACACTTACACCTGTATGCGAGCAAAGTAAACAAGCAAGACGTATGCACTAAATATTTGCATGAAAGATGCCAGTTCTGCCGTGGTAAACTCTACATGAAATTCAAATTCAAGTTTGCCTAAGTCAATTAAATATTAAACTTATTTTGCATTCACTGTCATAGAAAAACACCTCTGCTTTTGAAAGGAAAATCTATACTACACAACTTTTTGTTTGAATTTGCAAGTTTTGGGAATAGAACTATATATTTCTAATCGTCCCCTTTTGAAAAATAGTCACTGGATGAATTGCGGAATTAGACGAATTATTTGAAATTAATTTTTTCGCGTTAAGCACGAATAAATAAAATTTTATACGCTGTTCCATTCTGGTAACAAAATTCTTTCTTTGAAATTCAAGACATTGAATTTCAGCTGAAACGTCAGCTTAGTTTTGCTGATGGGATTGTTTACTAACCCATGGAATAGTGGTACTCGCGATATACTATATGTGCAGGTGTTCACAAAGCTCCAAGAAGTGATTCAATACTTAGGATGATCTAGAAGTGAAGCTTAGCGGTGGGGTGATCTTTGATCTTCTTGCTTTCCGCTAGAGAAAATTTGCTACCATAAAACCCAATGCAAATTCATTGTCAGTCTTCAGATTTCTTCGATACAAAGTTATAATTACGTTTGCGTAGTGACAATACCATCATTAAGTTTAAGTTTGACCCTTTAGAAATAATAATTTTGTCCATAAATCTTGTATGTTCGAACAGAATAAAGTTTACTTGTTGTTCTAAATATTAAGCAAGTATTCATTATCTCCAGACTTGTGACTTAACTATTGATTTTCCGTCGTCAATTAATTTTTATACGCTTTTGCAAATGTGACGCGTACGCATTACCTAAACTGATAAATAAAGTAAATAAGAAGTTACATTATTTCAGCGATTAAGAATAATTCCAAAAAGGAATTGGAATAAGAGCACATAACATTTCCTACATATTTATTATTCTGTGCATTCTCGAATAGCTCTCTAATATACATATACGTTATTTACGGAAGCGGAAGATACTAGAAAAGTTTTGCGCAGGGATATATACTATCCCTTTACCTATATATGGAATGCTACAGATTCAACTATGCGTGCAACAAAAAGTTACGTGAATTTCTCGTAGTACGCCATGTGCAGAATTCCCTGGTCTATTCTAGAATGCAATTTCTAGACTCCACCAAGATTGTCGGTATCCGGAACTATAGTTTTGAGGCTTTGTATTGTCTGACCAAAGTCTGGCTCGCACCACTGTCGATTACTCCCAACTTCTCCTTTCTCCCAGTGACGACGAACTATTTATGTTCTTCGTTAAGGTATGTTTGTCGATGGTGATCATGTTAGGAATTCTATTTAACATTATTAGGCAACTTCGATTTAATTTTTGAATCCTTAATTTTAAATATTAATTCAAACCCTAACAGCAACGGATATTCGAGGATAGCCTACGGACGTCATAATCGCACCTGGAAATTTAGATATCCTAATTTGGATTAGGGTGGCCTTAAGATATCTCAGGAGATCTGTAAGACATCCTATGGATATAATAGTTTCCGGAATTGTTCCATAGCACCTACTTTGGTTAGTTCATCCGCTCTATCATTTTCAATAAATCCAGTATGATCAGGGACCCAGAGAAGAGTAACGCAATTAATTCCAGCTAGTCACCAATTCATGGTAGTCACCGTGATGTGATAAATTAAGACGGCGCAGGTACTACGCGTATGGACTGACCGGTTGAGAAACAATATTCATAAATTGTTTAATATTTAATTAACCGAAACCTCACTCAAAACAGCTATCACTGGACTCCATTGGTTAGAAGAATTCTGTTTAATTTTTCGTCCTCTTTTCGCGTTATACTTGCTATGCAAACATTCTACGCGGGGGTCCGACACGCAGACGAGCTTAGTCGCGGCATTTCCTCTTTTCTTGCGACCAACAGATCTGCTAGTTGAAATTCCAGTCCACAATGCTCCACATCAACAAACATTACTTTTTGAGAACGTCAAGTGTTCCCTTTCAAGGGAGGTTAATCGCATTTGAAGATAAAGTTGAAATCGTTTTCAAAACGCTGCTTGTAAGTCTCTTTTTTCGAAAAAGAGCACATAGAGGAAACTCGGTTATGTACGTAGAAAGTCTTGGGTAGTCGGGGGAATAATATTCACCTCGTTGTTCAAACAGATGCGGCAGGAGTGTGGGACTAGGGAAAGAGGAGAGAACAAGGACGAGGATGGGAGAGCAAAGGTTGGAAAAGACGGATGTAGAACGAAGTAGAAAGACGGAGGCTAGAGCAACGAGGCAGACATGCCAGCGGAAGACATGGGACGGGAGATGAGATCCCGCGGGGAGCTTCGGTTGCTGAGTGCCTATATGAAGACGCGAACCAACTGTAGTGCTTCGACTATAGTCCGAAGGGGAATACCACTATACTCAACTTTGAAGAGACTCTACATGTACAATGAATATGTATATTTTATATTCCTGCAGTGAATATATACTTCCCACACAAATATATAAACATAGAGAGAGAAAAAAAGTCAAGTCAACTGGACCCAGTCTATGTTAATGAAACTTTACATAAAATTTCTTTTGTGACTCGAAAACTGTATCAAGTTTATGGGAGAAAATTTATGCAAACCATAAATGAAAATTATAATTAGTGGTTATTCTTTGACGTACTTCCTCTCTAGTTTTAATTAGTTCTAACGTTCTTATTTACGTCCAGTATTTATTTCAGCATGTAATTAAAAATTACAGAACACTAATTTTCCTTCCTAGGAATTTCACTAAATTACTATAGTTTTAATAAAATGGAATTTCTCTTGTAACAAACTCAACAGTTCTCTTAGAGACTTTGAGTTCGTTTGCCATAGTGATCCAAACTTAAATGTTCGTTCGCAGCTAAAATTAAATAGATACTTTTAACAAATATTCAAAAAGACAAAGTATTTCAAAACAATTTGCAAATCTTTTAAGGGAAAATTTCCCATGTATGGTAAAGTTAGACTTTAATTCATTGCTAGTTTAACTAGAAAGTGTATAGACCTAACTTCAGCGAGAATCCATCTCCTTTAGAATGATTCAGACAAACTTCTACAGAATTACAGCCGATGTAATTGGATTTATAGTGCAATGTTAATGCTACGTCTGGGATTTAAATCCGATTTATTCCAGAGGACTGAATCTTTGCAATAAAATATTAAATATAAATTATAGTTTTATCAATTTTCCTAGTTTAAATTTAGTTTCAGAATTAAACCTAATTTAGGATGAGGATAAGTCAATGAGCCTACTAAATGTGGTGGGAAAATATTTATTTAAAAACCAACCAAGAAAGAAAAGCAAATACAGACTTTTACTTTAATTCAAAAAATTTTTTAGTCAGACCATAAAAAAAGATTTCATTACTTTAAAGGACAAAATATCTGTAAAAATAACAATAAAGAATTATATTTTATTTTCACAAACTACAGGGAGCAGAGAGGAAACGCTTTTTTCTCTCTCAACTTTTATCGAACTCCATACGACATGTCATTTCCATTTTACTGCTTGTGCAGGAATAAAGAAAAAGCCTTTTACTTAGGTAAAGCAACTACCAGGGTATTGAAGTGGAAACTTGTACTTGAGGAAATCTCGTAGAAAATTTAAGGAAAGAAGAAAATGAAATTATCCAATTTAGATTTGTAATGGCGTAATTTAGATACAGTTGCAGACATTTGCAAGCTATCGGTTAAATATAATTTTAGAGGAGAAAATTTATATCTTACTTTGAGAAAAATGTATGAATTAATATGATCTTTTTAAATTTTTCCTAAGAAGAGTTTATAATGGAAATTAAAATTAAACTGAAAGTTGTGAAATTTTTAAATAATATTAAACATTTAATGAAAATTTAATTAATATTTTTTAGAAAATTAGAGACGACGGTGGGTAAATAAACAGAAGGGAAGAAAATTGTCGGAAAAGTAGACACACAACACATTTAGGCAGTGAATTACGTCATTGTAGTGCGGTGCCGCATCCGCCATGGACCTAGCTCTGCATGAAACGTGGTTGTGGCGCACTTTGTAAATGGTTGTAGGATGAGATAAAGTACACAGTTCTAAATTCAATTCTACGATCTTTTCCTGATAGTTTTTAACGCATAAATGCATCTTGAGAGAAATTGACAAAAGAGAATTTCCGTACCCATGATGCCCTCTTTTTGTTGACCTCTACATTACCACTACATTTAGTAAAAGGACAAACCAAGTTATGAAAAAAAAGAGGGAGCAAAATGAGCTCATCAAGTTAATGCTAAGTTACCTACTCCACGTGTCATGAGACGCGATTATCCAGTCCTTGCTCTTAGTCCAGAAAATAAGTGTTAAATTATTAAACTTACTGTGATATTCTTGATAGAAGTTGATCAACACTAAAAAATGGTACCCCGCAGTGAAGTCTGCTTGGGTGGGAAATCAGTACCGCTTGACACTCTCGCTTCAACTTCTGACCTGAACGGATGTTCGGAGAGTCCATGTGCGACTGTTCGCAAAGGTTTTTGGGAATTAAGGAAATGGGAGGGGAGCAATTAGAATGTTTAGATTTGAGAACGCCTGTGACAACGAATTATAAGTTCATCTGATTTGTGAGCCGGTTATTTTATTTTCACTCTCTCTATTAAATTAATTTAATCTACATTCATAGAAGAAATCATCGATGACTATCGTGAGTAA